TTGGAACAATTTTGAACAGTATGCACCAACAACTACAAAATAAACTGCTCAATTTACAGAGTGAATATTGAAGTAGCACAGCAGCACTTATCAGTGCGACATTGATAGATATACATGATATAGATACACGATGATAGACATTCCTGAGTGGCAACTGTGTCACAGAAACCAGCTCAAGAAGTGAACCACCCCCTAAAGTAAATTGCATTTTAGATGCTGGTGCATATCCTGGTTTAGGCTCATGGTCAGGACATTTTTCAGTGTTTTATAATATTGTGTTTGGTGTCATTTTAAAGGGGGGCTTCCTGGCTTTCATTCAAGCCCAATTGTGTGCCCAGTTCGCCTAAATTATATCTTTTCTTTAAGAACTGTGGCATCTAGATACATCAGGGACACACAACTCTGAAACTGGAATACTCACAGGACTCTAAGGAGTCAGGAAATGCATGTTATACCCATACTATTTCATTGTGAGACATTATTGTGAGCCATGAATTAGAAGAATGACATTGATGGAAATCTCTCATTTAATCACTAGCTTGTAATTGGTATGTGTCAGGGCAAAAAATAGATATTAATAAAAATGAAAAAAATTAAATGTAATTTGTAACAATAGACTTTTGAGCTTAGTCATTTTGTATTTTCAAAATAAAATATGTTTTCTATGTTTCATAAAACTATCTGGTTATATATGAATTCCTGGCTCATGATTGTGTTGGATATATACAAGTTGTGGTGCATTAGTTATTGTTGGTATTCGTACAAACGCTGCATAAGAACAACTTGGCGAAATTGTTGTTATCATAAGCTTCTGCCTCCTTCAAGTGCCATTGTACATGTGATGCCGAGTATTGTGGTTTGGCCCATTCATACAAACTTCAAATGTTCTTCCCTTTATCGTGAATGTCCCAAATGCACTACAGCACTAAAGGGCATGTAAAACACAGCAGAGAATAATAATATTCATTCTGCCCCTCAGGATCAACCCTACACAATGATGAGGAGCTCCGGATTGTGATGGTGGGGAAGACCGGAGTTGGGAAGAGCGCCACAGGAAACACCATCCTGGGAAAACAGATCTTTAAATCAGAGTTCTCTCCTAAATCTTTGACTGAACAGTGTGCTAAGGCCTTTGCTGAGGTGGATGGACAAATGATTGCTGTTATTGACACTCCGGGTCTGTTTGACACCAGGATTGATGAAGAACAGAACAGTAAAGATTTTGCCCAGTGCATTTGTTTTGCTTCTCCTGGACCCCATGTCTTCCTGGTCGTCATCAAACTGGGCAGATACACTGAGGAAGAAAAGAACACAGTGCAGAAGATTCAGGAAATCTTCGGCAAGGAAGCAGAAGGTAGAGAAAGCGATAGAAGAGGAGAAACAACGAATCCTTAAAAAGAAAGAAAGAAGAGCAAATGCGCAAAGAAGAGGAGGAACTGAGGAAGAAACTGGACGAAGAGTTTCAGCAAAAACTGAGGGCTGAGAAGGCTGACAGGGAGAGGGAGAATCAACTGAGGGCAGAACGTGAAAGAAAACTGGAAGAAGAAATGAAAAAAATGAAAGAAATGCAGGAAAAGCAGGCCAGACAGCAAGCAGAGATAAGCAATCCATTACTCCTACTGATAGCTTCTCCTACTGATTGAAGCAGAGCCGTTGTTACTTTTAATATGCTCATTCCTGTTTTTGGTTTTCTCGTTTAAGATTTTAATGTTTGATATTTGTCTTCAAAGATGTAGACCTTTTCTTTTATTAGCTTGCTATTGTGCTATACATCATTGTACTCAAAGTTGTGTGGATGCATTGTTGAAATATTTTAACTGACCTGTATTTTATTGTTGATCTTAATACTTATTATAAGTTAAGATTTTTTTATTCCATATATGGTATCCTTAAAGACTGTAAGACACAAAGGTCTCCTGCAGTTTAATGTGACCGTAGAGTCAGACAGAAACATCAGTGGAAACATGTCAAGGTATGTAACATCCTAACATGTCTGAGATAAAAGAACAACTTAAGTCATCATCGGAAACTGAAGACATAATGAACACCATTGAACTACAATGTTTTCTTGTTTCAGCACCAGACACTTTAATTTCTCTGAGATTAGAGGTTGAGAGCTTTGTATCAAAGTGTTGATTTATTTAAAGGCCCTGCTGAAGGTCAAACTCACAAGTGTTTTGAAAGCTTACAGTATTGGGCACCTGTTCACATGCTCATTTGACATTTGAGACAATACACTACAATTCAAAGGACTGGCCCCGCTCTACATGTGCACTTCATTTTTGGCAACTTAAAACAACTGGTGCCTTTTCTTGTCAATGCTGACGGGAGGGGTGAACAGGTTTGTGTTTGCCGGTAATAGAACCGTGAAAATGCAGGAGGACTGGATATTCTAGCTGTGAATAAAATGGGACATTCAAGGGTGTGTATCATTTCAGTCAGTCATTTAAAGTTTGAATTAAATCTTTACAAAATCAAAGTGAAAGCTTAGCGGTAAAGAAAAAAAAAATCCTTCATCAAAAATCAGTCTAGCGTGTGCTAAGAAAAACACTTAATTGTCTCAATGGAGGTGCCTTGACAATTATACTTTTATCATGCTGTGTTGAGACTGTAGATGACATTTAGATTGTTTTGGATAAAGTTTGTAACATGTCAAAATGTAGAATGATAGTCTTAATTTTTGCTTTAACTTTGTCATTCTGATTGTATATCCTGTATTTTTTGCATTGTTGATCTATTCTGTAAACACTGCATGTTTTGCATCCGAAGAATGATCCATCTGCAGTTGCTCGCCTTGAAGTTTCTTCCGTGTTTTTTTCCGGCATTAAAGGGTTTTTCCGCTAACAAAGACCACGCTCAGAGTAGTTTTATTGGATGACTAGAGGATCAGAGATGACACGGAGAAGGTCGAGTTCGATGGGATGATGGGAGTCGAGGGGAGGGGTAAAAGGGGGTCATTTGTCAGGGGATGGACGGGACCTGAAGGTTGGTCAGGGTCATGCATGATAAGATGATGTGGGTGGGGGTCAAGGAGATGGATGAAGGGAGGTTGAATTTGTGGGGTTGGATGGATAATAACTTCATTCATGGGGAATTTTTGCTCATCTGAATCGAGGGTCTATGGATGGAGACTGTGATTTTAGATATCAGGCTATATGAATAAAATTGCCCAGATTTTACTAGAAATAAATCAAGCCGTCTGATTCATTTTATCATTGTGGATATGGCGGGCAAAAAGCTCTTGTCCTGTTCATGAAGGCGGGACAGGATTACAAATGACACTTTCACATTTAGACTAGCCAGTGAACGTCAACACTTCTACTCTTCACTGGGTCTTGTGGGTGTGGTTTGAACACATTGAAAAATGTATCTAAATAACTACACACTCTGTGATTAATTAATCTAAATTAATCACAAACATCAACTTTTAATTTTGGCAGATGTGTCGTTGTCAAGCTGCTGAATTTTGGACACAGTTGTCCCCCTGTCCTCCACCACTGAAACTGGTCTGCAGTCTGTTGCAGTCTGTTTTGCAGGGCAGTTGGTCAGTCGGTCTCAGGTAGACTTAATCAGTTTGCGTCTGAACGCTTGGTCAAGTGTGGCTTGACAAGGCTGACTGCTAGCGCTAGCATCAGAGGCTGCGCTAGCTCGGAACTCCTGAAGTATTCCACCCTTATGGTCATTAACTCAATAAAAATGGGATTGTATGGCTAAAACTAAAACAGAAAGTTTATTTAATTTGTACAATTTAATGGCAACAAGTGCCTGTTTCTTTAGGTTCAGTGATATCAGGAATTGCAATAAGTTACCTTTGTACATTCACAAACCCCAGCTAACTTTAACAATATGACACAGGTCATATTATGACTTATTAGAAACTCGATTATCAATACATTTTTAGTGACGTCACAGATTATAAAGTTGCTGAGGTGATCAAGAAATAAAGCTGAATAAAGGAGTGATGCTTTGCTGAAAACAGAGGTCAAGTCTTTTATTGTTTAGTAAAAGACTCAAAGGTCTCCTGCAGTTTAATGTGACCGTAGAGTCAGACAGAAACAGGTGGAAGTCTTAAAAGAAAACAGATTTTTATTTTAACTATTGTTTATGTAGCAGTGACACATTCACTGTTACCACTGATGTCACCGATCTGCACAGACATTGTACAATAGCCCCCTCTACTGACATTTATTGGTTTAGTTTAGATTTCTGTTGTGGAAATGTATGCAAAAAGAACTGATTTAATTAGATAATGCCTCATTTGCATATTTAACATCAAGTTTCAGAAAACTTTTAAGAGAAAAAAACAATTGTTCAAATTAGCTGCAGAAGTTTAATAGTGTTTTATTTTTTGTCTAAAAATGTATGGAATTTTTCAATAAATCTCTTTAAAGGCCTTTTGTTGAGTTGTCACAACCCACAACTATACTATAACAGAAGATAACATAAACATAAACAAGCTAAATGGGTCCCTTTAGCCCAGTTCGGACAACACAAAAGCAGTGGAGAAGTGAAGAGTACATGCACTAGATGAGTTTACGACAACAGAATGTAACTTCTACATAAAGTTTTAACCCTTGAAATACAAATACAAAACTTTAAAAGAGAGAAACTAATGCTTGTTTTGGGATCAATCCTATAAACACTGGGATCGACCTTCAAAGTAAAAATGTAGTATCGTGAAAATCGATATTTTGGTATCGATCTGCCCGCCCCTATTAACCATGGGGAGCATAACTGACTGAAGGGGGGCTTTAAGGAGACAGGTGCGAAAACAGTGCGTCTAAGCTAAAAGGTGAATACTGGTATATTCAGGCAGACAGTATGAGAACATTAATTTGTTTTTTGAACATCAAAGCATGTTAAAATGTTCTGGTAAGAACCCAAAACACAAGAATGAACCTTAAAATCATCATAAAATGGTACCTTTAAAGTTACAAATTGTGGTAGCCATACGCCGAACCAATAGGGGCGGTAGTGCGCCTAAAACGACTAAAAACAAAGGCGAAGAAGAAGAAGTTCAAAGTTCACATTAAAGTTTCCCTCGTGTGGTGCTGTTACGGTGGAGTAAAACCGGAGCTCACGCATCAGACAACCGCTTGAAACACCCTTTTTTCGGAGGAGACGGTTCACTGAATAAGTAAGTAAACGTTGGACGGGTGTCGCCTGTTTAACTCTCTTCTGTCGTTGTTATTAGCGCCATGAATGTCCGAGCTTTGAGCTGTTATCGGAGATGTTTACACTAAAATGCTAGCAGCTAGCCGATGTTAGCATCGTTTATTTCAGACTGACGCAGCACCACCGTTTAACAGTTTACGTTTAATTAATTTCACTTTAACTAAACTGTGCTTGGAGATGTAAGGTATCACTTTTAATCTGCTTTATTAGCAATTGACATAACCCGATAGTTAGCTCCCGTGTAGCTAGGTAGGCTAACTTCAGCTAACAGACCAACCAGACTTTAACCAGAGTTTATACTAATTTTCACTGTAATAATAAATTCAATCAGTCATCAGATTCAGTGACATCACAGCTAACGAATAATATGTCCGTTGGGTGTAGCACACGTGTTTCAGACTCACACAAAAGTCCTGAAATTATCCAGCTTTATTTTTTACATAGCGTCAAACTCAGCGTCCAGTTTGTTAGGTAACATTAACGTCACACCTGGCCATACCTAAAGCTACAGGAAATCCAGTCACAGGTGAAACCTCTTAGGGACTGTTCATTATTAATCAGAAAGGGGTGGCTCTTCTTCCTTTTATTTATTTATTTTAATTTTAATATTTCCATCCTTCCCGAAGCTTCAAATATTTTCCCATGAGCCTCCCTGAGTGACTGGCAGAAAATGCAAAGTTGAAAGTTAGGAATGCATGATATTGAATGCTTTGCCGATATCTGATATGCCGATATGTAACAACTCATTTGACCAATAACTAGGGGTGGGCGATAGGCCCTAAAATAATATCCCGATATATCAGGGTATTTTTGCAATAACGGTATTCTTGACGATATGACAAATTAGTTAAAAAAAAACAACAAAAAACAGTTATAGATTTAAGTCCATAGAATCGCAACAAAGTGATATAGTTTTACAGTTTGCTTCAAATATTCACTAAATATGAAATTAAAATTATGTCTCATATCTTAGTTTGTGAACAACAACAGTAACTCAGTGAGGTTTATATTAATTAATCCCAAATACAAAATTGTACCCTGGGATCTACATATATAAATCAACATGTGATTTCCTTCTTTTAGCAAAATCATAATTGATTGTTTTTTTCCACCTGGACCTTTATGCTCTGCCATTTCTCCTCTAATCATCACACTGTAACCTGTGACAGGCTGTTATGATACCACAACTATCACACATTCACATATATGGAGTTTTTGTCGAGCTGCAAGCGCCACATAGGTTTACATTACCAAAGGTTTATGACAAAACTACACTGACTCCCGTGTGAGCACAGCTAGAGAGGGGAGGGAGTGATGCTGTGCTGCTGCCAGAGGAGCCGCTGAATGAGTTCCCTCTGAGCGATAAGTCACTAAAAGAGTCTGAGAAGTCCAGGGCTGTTCATAAAACATTCAGGACGCCACAGTTTATTCCACACTACTGAAGCTGCTCCGCTTTTTGGAACCACCGCAGACTTGGTAATAATTTTGCTTTCAGCCATGCTTGTTGTTGTCAACAACAAGAAGTCTAAATGTCATGATTATCACAATATGAATTTTACATGACATCAAAAATTATACCAGTATTAACGTGAGCGAGATGATGTGGCACACCCCTGGTGTAACAGAGAATGAAGCCATTTGAAAGCTCAGTGGTGTCCTTGTTTTCCGTCACTGTAGCAGCAAGAAGCAGGAAACTGCTGCGGTGGCTTGACTACAAGTAAGGATGGATCAAAGGGACAAAATAGTGGTTTAAAAGCGTTTTGTTTAGACCTTAGTCACATTGTGAATAATGCCTCAACACTGACAGCGCTTTTGTTTGTTATACCTGTTCAGAACTTTGGTCAACAGCGGTTGTTTTTAAATGTGCTCTACAAATAAAGTTTGACTTGACTAATAAAGTTTGACTTGACTAATTACGGAGGGCGTCCTTTGTTGTAAAGGCCTCTGAGTCAAGTTTGTAATAACATATAAATATAACTAATCTTATTTTGACATTCCTGTCTTACCTTCAGGTTGTGATGGCCTCCTACACCTGTATCAGCTGCCGAGTGGCTTTCGCAGATGGCGAGGTGCAGCGAGCACACTACAAAACCGACTGGCACCGCTACAACCTGAAGCGCAAGGTGGCCGACATGCCACCAGTCACCGCTGAAAACTTCCAGGAGCGAGTCCTTGCCCAGCGGGCAGCCGCTGAACAGCAGCTGAACGACACGACGACCGGCGAGGGCTGTGCCATCTGCAACAAGAAGTTCTCCACCGTCAACGCCTACCAGAACCACCTGCAGTCCCACAAACACCAGCAGGCCGAGAAGCAGGCTCTGCTCGCTGCACAGAGGAAAGTGGAAAAGATGAACGAGAAGAACCTGGAGAAAGGTCTCGGCGATGAGAAGGTGGATCACGACGCCAGGAACGAGGCCCTGCAGCAGGCCCTGAAAGAGCAGCAGAGGCCGAGCCCGGCCAAGCAAGGGACATCACAAGAAGCAAAAAGGCAGAGGGCGGAGAAGCTGGAGAAACCTCCCAGGATGATTTGGTTGGAGGAACAAGCTAAGAGGCGAGAGAAAGAAGACGGAGCCACAGCTGTGGAAGGTAAAGAGGAGAAATAAAAGCCATCATAGACATCACTGAATCTACTTTTCAAAGCAGAGTCTGCTTGTTTTTTAAATCACAGTGTCTACAGTTTTTAGATGCAGCGTGTAAGTCAGAGAACTAGTAGGGCTGGATGATATGAATGACATCGCGTTGAAGAATATTTCACTGCTGGAAAGATGGTCTTTTTATAAAAGCAGGCACAAGTACTACTTGAAATTGGTGCAATATGACCAGAGAAAACAGAGGGAAAGGACTCCGGCATTTGCTTTTTTATCAAGAGGTAGAAAACCTACAACTACCAGAATGCACTGTGCTGCACAACACCAATAAATACTCCCACTGGTGGGTGGAAAAAATGAGTTTCGAAATGTTTACACATGAAACAATATGGCAGCTAGCTGGTAACAAAGAAACCCTCGAATTAAAGGTAAACAGTAAGCTAATATATGTTTTAGATAATATTCATTAGAGAAATAGGCAACACGTTAAGAGTCTTTGTTTATATTTGATCAGTGCTACTTAGTTTTACTGGTTGATCTCAGTTTTTCCAGCCTTCGATTTTACAATACAGGAATCAGTGTGGCGCCCGCTTCCTGTTCACACATTCTCGTATTACGTCCAAACAGTGCACTAAAAGGCAAATCAACCAACTACCAACAACGCAGCACACTGTGCATCTTGTTGCCACAGTTCAAGTAGTTTGGTTTGGAATTGTTAATTTGTGTATAGATAATTTTGTAAAAATCTGATAGTAAAAGATGGTATATGATTTGAATTATTGCCCAGCTGTAATCTTAGTTTTTTTCCTGCAATTCTCTCTGTGTTATATGTTATTTCTCTGAGTAATAGCAATGACCTTTCAGTGTAACAAGACTATCAGTTACTGCGTTTTTTTAAAGTATTCACACTAAGAGACTAATTGCAGTAAATGAGCTCCCATCAGTTGTAGATGTTGAAGATCTTTATTAGTTTTTTGTGTTTAAAAAAAAATGACACCATGTTCCAATAACAATCTTCCAGAAGAGTGGGAGGACATTGACGAGGATGAAGATGATGACGATGAGATGGAGGATGAAGAGGAAGAGGAGACGATGGATCAAGAGGAAGGGGACTCGGTGGGTGCGTCTGACCCCCAGCCCGCCGCTCTGCCCGGCTCCATCCCTGTCACCAACTGCCTGTTCTGCTCCCATCACTCCAAGTCGCTCATGAAGAATGTCGCCCACATGACCAAAGCCCACAGCTTCTTCATCCCCGATGTGGAGTTCCTCGTTGACCTGAAGGGCCTCATCCGCTACCTCGGTGAGTTTGTGGCGTAAATGTAAGGAAACTCCATGCGAAGTCTGGATGAGTGCTGTTACGTCACTTAAATCCGACCAGTTCTACCTTTGGTACCCGACCCTAGTCCTGATATTAAAAAGATTTTTTGTTGATCCTGAGTGTGTATAAAGATACTTCTTAATACTCCTGTTAGATGAATGAATACTGTTTTATTTTCCACCCAAAGCTTACATAGTTGTTTTCTTGTGTTACAGGAGAGAAGGTCGGTGCTGGAAACGTGTGTTTATGGTGTAACGAGAAGGGCCGTTCGTTCTACTCGACAGAAGCAGTACAGAGTCACATGACAGACAAAAGCCACTGTAAGCTCTTCACAGACGGCGACACTGCCCTGGAGTTTGCAGACTTCTACGACTTCAGGTAATAAAGTGACGTGTAGCTGATTACTCTGTTTATGCCTATAATATGTGATCTATTAAACCTCATTTAGTTATACAATGTCATTCTGATTCATGCTTTATTTTGTCAACAGGAGCAGCTACCCAGACAGGAAGGAGGGAGAGGATGCTGAAATGGAAGAAGAAGAAGAGCTGCCGGATGACAAGAACCTGGAGTACGACGACGAAACGCTGGAGCTGACTCTTCCTTCAGGTGACTGGAAATGAGTTTTTAAAATTGGCAAACGATATGGATCGATGTTTTCACTTTGCATCGATGATATTAGATCTTTGATCATTAAATCGATACATCAATCCAGATCGATGGATCGTTACACCCCGAACACACAGTACAGTAACCTAATTCACTAATGCAGTAATTTAAAAAGTGTTTGAAACAGCTGTATTATATTTTTTTTAATTTTTATATTCATGTAATAAATATACTCTGAGATAGACTACGGTTATAATAATCATCTGCTTGAAGTCATCCATTTGATTCGGATGGATGTGATCGCTACAAAAGGTTTCCACTGACTCTTTAGATTATATCGCTGGGCTGGGTTGGGACATGAGCGCCACATCTGAGCAGGTGCTGAAATGAAAGGAGTTGACTGCTGACTTGTTCACGTGGTGTAAATATAGTGTGGCTTCATTGTTAACGGTCAGTTTGTTCATACTGTAACAGAATGCACGTCCTCGCTGTGTGTCTCTTCAGGTGCTAAGATCGGCCACCGCTCGCTCATGAGATACTATAAACAGCGGTTCGGAGCTCAGAGGGCGGTGGTACTGAGCCACAATAAGAACGCTGTTGGCAGAGTCCTCCGGCAGTACAAAGCTCTGGGCTGGGGAGGAGATGGAGGTAAGATTCAACCAGGACCACAAAGTAATGACAGCAGTTTCTCTGGTGTCATCTGGTTAATATTTAACAGTTTAAAGAGAGAAACAGGTGAGAGTAACTTTGTGCAAGTAGTTTGGTATTTTACTCACTTGTTTAGAAGTTTCCACTTTACATGCATATTACAAATACAAGCGAAAATATTATTACCACACCAAGATGTAGTTTCATGCTCAAATTGACCCTTTCAAAACAAAAGAAAAACATAACAGTGCAAACATTCATTCTTTAAGGCTTCTGTCTTCCAAGTCATCACATTGTGAGCTTGTAGTAACGTATTGTGCTTCATTACGTGTGGTGCAAAACCACACAAAAACATGATGGTGCCAAAACAGGAAATAATGAATCTGTCAAACTGCCTTTGCACTCTGCTCATAGAAGTGTGCATATCTCAAAAATTAAATCATGCACATAGTTTAATTAACTTAGAGTGTTAAGAAATGTTTTGTTTGTGTGTCGTCATTTAAAAACCTTTTGGATTCATGTTTTGCGTTTTTATTTGGTAAAATCTGGTGAAAAAAATTATTTTTGTGTAATTTGTTTTAATGACACAATACCAATTATAATGGATTATTAAGGAGGGCTGCCCCCTAATAGTTGACCAAATGTAAGTCAATCAGAAAGGTCATTAGTCAGTAAGATTTCATTGGTTGCTTAGTTTCAAAGTAAACAAACAAAAGTGAAACTTTATTAGGAGCTGTGCCTTGTCAAAATAAATCAAAACCTATATAACTGGACCATGTGGGAATTTAATCTGAAAGGTCAGACACAGGAAGAGACCACTCTCAGCAGTCAGACAGGAGTCAGGTTGATTTCCAGGGCTGGTACCTGCGGTTATTCCACAGGCTAGTTAATAACATGTCGGACAGGAAATCCAAAGTGTGGCATCATTTTGAGAAGGTGAAGGACGAACCCAAGGTGATATGTAAACTCATCTTCATTGGTCGACTACAAACATGACGTATCATCTGAAACATGGAAGTAGCTACATGCCCATTAGCCACTTAGCACAATCATGACTGCTTTGCTGACAGCGTCATTAACAGGCGGCTCGCTCAGTGTGTGACGTGCACTTGTAGATAAAATATAGGCCTATATTAATGAAGGTTCATTAGTACGGTTTTGTATTTCTCTGTAATGTAGCACAGTGTTAACAATGTTACTGATACTATTCTTTCTCACACCTTCAACTCAAATCATTGTGTTGCCCCGCCCAAAATATATCATTTAATAATTAAATTAATATTGTAAACATGTGGCAACTAGTCGACTAATGGCCTTCACTGTGTTCTTTCATTAGACAATGAAACAGAAGAATGAATATTGTGTTTCCCCACAAACAAATACGAGGCAGCTGTCATGTAGAATGTACTTACCTGGGTTTCTTTGGCACAAAAAGGCTTAGAAAACTGCAACAACACTGTGTTTAGCTGCTGTTAATCTCTACAAAAGACACAACTGTAGAAATCTCTATATGTGGAACTTAAGTTCAGTACTTTTGGTGCAGAGCTGAGTCTTCCCAGTTCATCTAATTCCGACCCTGCAGTATTGCCTTACGGTATCCTAGTTTTGATTTATTGTGTTTACTTAAAAGAGTTTGGGGAATCTCTTATCACTTCCTGGGAAGCCTGAGTCTCGTAGTCGTTGTCAGCTTTTTGCCCAGGGAGCTCAATTTTTCAGTTATGTTATTTTCTTTGCTGTGTTTTGAGGATGTGAGTGTGATCGTTTATTCAGTCCTGTACTGTGGAGATGGCATGTTTTTGGCAGTTTGAGTTTATTGATAATGCTATTTCCTTTTTGTTTATCCATTCCACCGGCTTCCTCCTTCACCCTTGTATTTATTTCCTGTGTGGCCTTATAGATAGAGTAAGGCCAAGGTCACCGGGTACCTACCCGTGCTTCACATCTGATGAGTTTACACAGTTCTCACAGGTTTTATATATGTCACATTTCTGCAGTGGCTTGCAGTTGAAAGTAGAGCTCTGTTCAGGCACAATGTAACGTTACAGTCATAAAACCAGCGATTATAATGTTTGTTTTTCTTACCTAGTCGTCCTAACTTTATTTATACAGCAGTTTAAGCACAACTGCATAAATTGGAGTACAGAGAGAAAATGGAAAGGAGAAGACAAAAGAAGAAAATGAAATTTAAAAAAAAACAACAAATATAAGTTATATATTTATGATTTTTGCACATTCTGCATGTCACAATGCCAGAAATTAAGTAGATGATCTTAAAATACCAGTGAAACACCACAATTCTTGATACCCAGTTTGATACCACAGTAATAAAAACTAAAACAAACAATAAATCTTATGTATTTAAACATTTACTCCTTAATTAAAACATTTGAATTAAATTTAAGTTTCATTATTTCCTGATGATCCCCCTTGAAGGCAGAGTACTAGTCTATGTGGGTTCATGTGCTTTTGTGAGCAAGGAAACGCATCAGTATATATCTGACAGCATATTAACACATTCCTTCTCCATTGTTATTGGAGTCAAGCACCAAGCCCAATTTGGACCAAAGATGGGCGACGAAACGAGTTGAAACAGACAGCTACTTGCAATGCACCATTCTGCAACGACTGGTTCACACCAATGCAACTGGAGAGATGGTGTATCATCTCTTTGCAACAACCCTCTCTACTTCCGTTCTGATTTGCAGCTTTTCAGACTTATTTTGTGGCTGAATATAATTTGTAGCTTCTTAAAATATGGAGGATAGTGAGATGGAAACAGAGGGCTCGGCGAGGACGGAGCAAGCAAACGCGACTTTTGCAGTCATTTGTCTTGACCAGTGGACTTCACTACAAGCCACTTGGCTGTAGAAACAGGTGACGAGCTTTATGTTCCAAAAATCAGCTGGCAGTGATTTGACCAGCTGAGTTGCAGGTGACACCATCAGCTGGCTTGAGTTGAGCTCAGTCCGGCCAGTTCACACTGCTGCAACTTTTCTCTGCAACGTTTTAAGACGGTTTCATCTCGTTCCAAATCTTTGGTCCGAACTGGGCTTAAGGTGTGACGGTTGGTGTGTTATCTGTCCTGCCTCTCCTCATGGACGGCTGGGTAAAGGGTGATGGTAACAAACGCAGCATTTTATCCAAAATTGAACATTTTTCAACTGGCAATCAGAAAAAATGGCAAATGTTTAAAAAAAAAAAAAGAGAGAGACAGTGGTTGAGGCAGAGCTGTTGCTGCAGCTGCACTTGTTGCCATCTGACACATGTTGTTGCTCTTTTCCGCCGGTACGTGTTCTTGTTCTCACATTGGCTTTTAACGGCAGACTAGAACACATGTAGGCGTGTATGCTGCCCCGTCAGGTCCGGAAGAATTGCCTCCCTGGTACCTACTGTACTGGAGAAAATAGAGCACTTTCATGTTTTCAGAATTTTGGCATTGACTCGGCACCAAAGCATCAGTTGTAGTAACATCCCTAATGACCATAAAGATAACAGACTCCTACACAGAGAGCGTAAACAGCATATGGCAGAGAAGCAATGCATAAAATTGTGAAGGATCTTCTATAAAGTTTATGCTCTTTTGTTTCTGTCTCAAATGACAACATCTTGCTTTTTTTTACCTTCCCTTTAATAAATGTGTGTTATCCTTCCTGCTGCTAAGTGTAAGAAAACTGCCCCTAAACATTATAATGACACACTGTATGGACATGCCCCTCCCCTCTGTCTCTCTCTTAGGCAACGGCTCCTTATATCAGAAACAGAAAGACATGCAGTATGTACAGATGATGAAGTCAAGATGGATGCTGAAGATGGGCATGAGCCACAACGCCACCAAGCAGAAGCACTTCAGAGCCCAAGTGATGTTCTAAGCCGGGACTGGAGGCAAGCCGACATGGTGCGATATGTGACACGGACTGGTGGACTTTAACATTTAAAATCTTTGCTATTTTCCCACCAACAGGACTTGGACTATTGAAGCAGGTACAGCTGCAAATGAGTGGCGGCTCCTTGCACAGTGGCAGAAAGAAAAATCAAACATGTCATGCAGCCATGTTGATTTGTGGTTTGTAAACTGCTGCAAAAACCTTGATGGGGAGAACATTTGCACCACCTTTACTTCTTGGAATTCTCACATGATGAGCAGTTTGATTACATTTTCCAAATTTTAGCCATCCTTGTGATGCAGCATCTCTGCGTGGAAACTGCAGGTCACCTGTGACTCTGCTTGAAAACCGCTTTGGGATATGAATCCAGGTGGAGGCTCTGTCCTCCCAACAACCACTAGTTGGAGATTAAAGGCATGATCACATTTCTAAGTTCATTTTAAACTGCATGGATCGGGTAAAAGCTGCAGTTGATCACTATCAAGGAGGTGGTTTTACTATTTTGGACTCTTCAGTCACATAACATTTTTAATTTATCAGATTACGTCTGTATAATTCAGTGTGCCTGTAACACATCCAACCGAATAAATGTTTCATATTTATTGGCTACGTGACAATCTTCCTTTTTTTTTTGAAAGATATCTTTCTGGGCATTACCCGCCTTCAATGGACAGGACAGACAAGTGTGAAAGGGGGAGAGAGAGAGGGGATGACATGCAGCAAAGGGCCACAGGCTGGACTCGAACCCAGGCCGCTGCGGCAACAGCCTTGTTCATGGGGCGCCTGCTCTACCACTTAGCTACCGACGCCCTGTGACAGTCTTCCTTAACTAATGACTATTTTTTACTCTGTTTACAGGTGGAAGAACCTGATTCAGAATCTGTGTCCCTTACATATTTTGCTCGGTTGTTAAAACATTGGCAGGAATCAGTACAGAACACTCGTTAACATGACTAAAGGGCCGCCCACACCGAGAATGATTAACGGTAACGATGTGAGGATCCACACTGATGAACAATAATGTTTTATAAACAGTGAAACAAGCCCTCGCTGTGTGCCCCAGCTGTGTTGGCAGGACAGGAAAATGGATGCTGTTAGTGTGTCTGTCGTTCATCAAATTGCTCTGAGTGATCCAAATGATGTCCTTTGCCACTGATGTAAATTTGTGTGGCTGTCCACTTTAATTAGAATGAATTTTTCTATTAAAAAAAAGTGCTTTTTTATATGCTGAACAAACATTTAAACAACACTTTTGTCTTTACTATCATTTTTCACAGGTTTAAGTTGAAGATCTAAGACTTCTGTATGCACTCAGTAGATTTCTCTCAAATTTTGTTAAAGCCCATGTTTGTAAGCACTTCTCCTTTTCCAGGGTAATCCATCCACCTGACAGATGTGGCATAATAAGATGCTGATTTAAGAGCATCATTACTGAACAGGTGTGCCTTGGGATGGTCACAATAAAAGGCCAATCTAAGGGTGCTTTCAGACCTAGAATTGTTGCTTTGGTCTGAATCAGAGTACACTTGCAAGATAAATGTGACACTTTCTAATGTCACAATGGAGGGACAACTACGCAGGTTGATTTTAGCGCTGGTCATCGTGGACTATATTGCCGTCATTGTTCATTTTAGTCAAACCATACAGTTTGAAAACGAGGCGCGGCTCCAACTAGTAAACAATGTTTTGATGCATTGGATGTGCTGAATGTGCATATTAAGGCAGTACAGGAGGAGGTGCACATTAATAATCCTCCAGGACTGTAACATGTTCATGCAGGGTTCCCACGCATCCTTGAAAACCTGGAAAGTAATTGACCAATTTTCAAGTCATGGAAAATGTATGGAAAATGAGAAAAAAGTAAAATGTCCTGGAAAAGCTTGAGTTGTCCTGGAAAATTATTTCTCCTCCCTCTGCTTCTCTCTACCTTGTGAGTGAATGCAAACTGGTTAAAAAATTTGGGCATCCATGTCTGTTCTCAGCTGTCAAAATTGACCTGCAGCGCTTCTCTGCTTCTAGCCGGCACAGCACCCCACGTGACGGTACCAGCCAATCAAATTTGCATGTTCCCTCAGCGTTCCCTAGGCTATTCTTGCAGTGATTTTGATTTTTACTATGTTTGAGAATGCAGGTGTCAGATGTATAAAGTAAACTGCAGTAAACAGAGACGAAACAAAGGAAACTGTTTTTGGTAATTTATTGAAAATATAAAAATATTTTGTAGAGAAAGTACAGTAGAGAAAGTAGGAGAAAAGGGAAAACTGAGGTGAGAGTTGCCCAAACCAATATTGTAACTTCAGTTAGTTATGCAACACTGTAATCTGTGGGTGTGATTGCGCTATTCTATGATAAATTTGTCACAGTCTCTATGAATGTAAGATTATTTCATGTTTTAGCAATAGACTGCACATCTTTTAAATCAGACCTCTGGGGGCAGGAGAGAAAAAAACATAGCAATCTGGGTAAATGTACAAAATGTAATGGTGCGTTCCAGGCAACCCGTAACTCGTGTTTTCACAACCTGTAACCCGTGAAAGTGCACTGGAACGGCAGTCAAACCCGTAACTTCCCACCCGTGGACTCGTACCAGATCGATGTACTCCCAGTTACGGTTTCTGACATCACACAGCCTTCTAAACCAATTACCTTACTCCTCTAAACAACAATGGCAGCCCTATGGATGCGGTGTTGATGCAGGTGATACATGGTGAGAAATAGACATAAAATAACCCTAATGTTAACACATTATTGGCAGCCGCTCTAACAGCTGGTTTCTAGTGCAAGAATAAATCAATACAAAATACGTTTCCAAACACACAGATAACGTAAAAAATAGCCTATAATAGCATCTGTGACCCTATCCTCCTCCGTTTCACTCAAATGAGCAAGGAGCAGGTACCTTTGGCGATGGCAATAATGGGGAAGCACAAACAAACGGTTCGCCATGTTCAACGTTAAACAGGAAGTAACTGGCAGTTTGCTGTAACTTTCCTGGAACGCTACAAAGTCGTAACTCGTGACTTGAAGTCTTGACTTACGAGTTCAAAAGCCTGCCTGGAACGCACCATAAGGTACAACTGTAGAAAAGAACACTTCTCCAAAGCATACTGTTGCTGTTGCTATGGTCACACACACCACAGTTACTGTTGCTATGGTCACACACACTCACCATAGTAACTGTTGCCATTGTCACACACAACATAGTTACTGTTGCCGTGGTCACACAACATGGTTACTGTTGCTATGGTCACACACACACCATATTTACTGTTGCGATGGTCACACACATCATAGTTACTGTTGCTGTGGTCACACACACACACTGTCATGAACCCGCTGCATGTGAGAAAACCAGTTATCACCGTAGGTGACTAAATAATTTAGGTAAACTGTAGCCTGGTTCCAGACCATAGACCCCGCCCACTCAACTGAGTAGGCTTGCATCTCTGGTCTGGCATACTGCAGTGAATTTGCGATTTATCTCGTCCAAACGATGGAAGGACCAATGAACGCCGGGGGTCTAGCGATTAGCCAATCAGTGCCACACTGATGTCAAGCTGTACGCCGGTGGGTAACTGGTGAGGATCGCAACAATGGCGACTGCTACAGATCCTACAGACCACATTAACGATGCTATCGAGGTATTTCGCCACTACTCGCGTTAATGGAGGACCAAATTAAGGAAGCTGCTAAACTGGATTTAACGGCGATGCAGCTGGGCGTGCACGATGACGGAGTCATTTTAAACGGGCGATGCTCACTTGTTTTCGGCACCCCCGAGGCATGGATACTAATGACGTCAGATTCTGGCTCTGATTCTGATCTCTACTGATTGGTTAGGGAAAAAATCAAATTCCCTCCCCCTTGTAAATCTCCTTCAGTGGAGGCAATGTCAGACTGAAGGTTCTGGGAGCTTCAGTCTGACATTCAGGCTAGGTAAACTGCACAACCAGCCAGCCCAGCCACCACACGGTTCATCGCTGAAAAGTTGCTGGTGCATTTCTCAACCCAAATGGCATCACTTTATAGGAGTACAGCCCAGATGGAGTAATAAAAGATGCCACTTCCTGTGCTCTTCTGGACAAGGGTACCTGCCAGTAACCCTTCAGCAGATCAAACTTGCTGACATACCTAGGAGCACCCACCTGGTTACTGTTGCTATGGTCACACGCACCATAGTTACTGTTGCTATAGTCACACGCACCATAGTTACTGTTGCTATGGTCACACGCACCATAGTTACTGTTGCTATGGTCACACTCAATATAGTTACTGTTGCTATGATCACACACACACACACACACCATAGTTACTGTTGCTATGGTCACACACACCATGGTTGCTGTTGCCACGGTCACACACACCATGGTTACTGTTGCCATGGTCACACTCACTATAGTTACTGTTGCCATGGTGACACACACACATGCACACCATAGTTACTGTTGCTATGGTCACACACACAACGAAGTTATTGTTGCCATGGTCACACACCATGGTTACTGTTGCCATGGTCACACTCACTATAGTTACTGTTGCCATGGTGACACACACACACGCACACCCTAATTACTGTTGCTATGGTCACACACACCATGGTTACTGTTGCCACGGTTACACACACCATGGTTACAGTTGCCATGGTCACACAACATAGATACTGTTGCTATGGTCACACACACCATAGTTACTGTTGCTCTGGTCACACACACACACACACNCGGAGTCATTTTAAACGGGCGATGCTCACTTGTTTTCGGCACCCCCGAGGCATGGATACTAATGACGTCAGATTCTGGCTCTGATTCTGATCTCTACTGATTGGTTAGGGAAAAAATCAAATTCCCTCCCCCTTGTAAATCACCTTCAGTGGAGGCAATGTCAGACTGAAGGTTCTGGGAGCTTCAGTCTGACATTCAGGCTAGGTAAACTGCACAACCAGCCAGCCCAGCCACCACACGGTTCATCGCTGAAAAGTTGCTGGTGCATTTCTCAACCCAAATGGCATCACTTTATAGGAGTACAGCCCAGATGGAGTAATAAAAGATGCCACTTCCTGTGCTCTTCTGGACAAGGGTACCTGCCAGTAACCCTTCAGCAGATCAAACTTGCTGACATACCTAGGAGCACCCACCTGGTTACTGTTGCTATGGTCACACGCACCATAGTTACTGTTGCTATAGTCACACGCACCATAGTTACTGTTGCTATGGTCACACGCACCATAGTTACTGTTGCTATGGTCACACTCAATATAGTTACTGTTGCTATGATCACACACACACACACACACCATAGTTACTGTTGCTATGGTCACACACACCATGGTTGCTGTTGCCACGGTCACACACACCATGGTTACTGTTGCCATGGTCACACTCACTATAGTTACTGTTGCCATGGTGACACACACACATGCACACCATAGTTACTGTTGCTATGGTCACACACACAACGAAGTTATTGTTGCCATGGTCACACACCATGGTTACTGTTGCCATGGTCACACTCACTATAGTTACTGTTGCCATGGTGACACACACACGCACACCCTAATTACTGTTGCTATGGTCACACACACCATGGTTACTGTTGCCACGGTTACACACACCAT